ATTGGGAAGACAGCTCTAAAAGAATTCAGAGTCTTGTGGCTCTCATCTCACCATTCAGGCAGACTTTTTACAAGCCCCTGAATTTCATGTCTCAGTACAGTTCAGGGAAAGTCATCCAGCATTGGGCAGGATATCACAGAGCCATCACAAGCAGCAAAGATGTCTTCCAACTAATTTCATGCACGTTTCTGAACTGCCCTCTGATCTTCAGCATCTCGTCACTGCCAACTGAAGCTGGATTTGAGCTGATGTGTTTGAATGTTCTGCTTTTTCAAAGATTGAAACGTACTGATTAACTCAACAGATTTTTAGCTATTAGAGCCTGCCCTAGCAATTATGTGGCCAATTAGGGGAGCTACAAAGGTCTGCTGTGTGAATAGCTAGGGTTTGAAATGATTCCTCAAAATTATCTGTGAATAACACTGGCTTTCCCCGCTGCTAATTGAATAAAAACTGTACTTATAAACCTCTAAGTGTAGCATTGCTCAATATTCTTTTATTAATTTCTGACGATGCCAGGGAGGGCTGTTATTAATGAAGGAAATGCTTATCACAGCTTTGAATGTTAATCAGGTCCCTGTAATAACTAACAACATGTACAGAAAGTAGATGGAAATATGGTTGCAGATCAAAAGCATCAAACAGCTTGTTGGGAAAAAGAAAAACCATGGGTTGGATCCACAATGTGCTTTCCCAACTTCAGGTATATGATGAAGGGATCTGAGCTAGTAGTGACTAAACAAGAAAGGGACCTTGGGGTAGTAGCGGACGGCTCCATGAAAATGTCAGGCCAATGCACGGCTGCTGTGAAAAAGGCAAACTCCATGTTGGGTATTGTTAGGAATGGAACAGAAAATAGACCTGCCAAGATCTTACTTCCCTTATGCAAATCTTCTTAGAAGGCCCTCAGGCCAAGTCGGTGGAAAATACTCTAATAAATAAATAAATCTTTGGTATTGTGTTCAGTTCTGATATCCTTGCCTGAAAGGGGGCATTATTGGGTTGGAAAAACTACGGAGAAGGACAATAAAAATGATCAGGGGGCCTGAGCAACTGGGACCATTCAGCTTAGAAAAAAGGCAAGTAAGTGGCATTTAAAGTTTTTCATGGTGTGGAAAAAGTGGAGAAGGAGACATTTTTCTACCTCTCCCACAACACTCAAATCCAGGGTCATTACATGAAGCTGATTGGTGGGAGGTTTGGGACAGATAAAAAGAAATACTTCTTCACACTGTGCCTAGATAAACGATGGAATTCACTGCCATGGGAAGTGGTGATGGCCGCCAAACTGGACGGCTTTCAAAGGGATTGGACAGCTTCATCAGGGAGGAGGGTATCAGTGGCCACTAGTCTTGCTGGCTATGTGCTGCCTCGTTTACCATAGGTGGCATGCCTGCATACACCAGCTGCTGATGAGCTTGGGCAGGCAGAGGTCTTGCACTCATCCTGCTTGCAGGATGTGATGGGCCCCCATGGGTACAGAGTGCTGGACCAGATGGACCTCTGGTCTGATCCAGCATGACCTTCTTTATATTCTTATGCAAAAGTGAGTTTTAGACTTCATACTGGAGGTGTGCCAAGTGCACTTCCCATCCATACATAGTGGCTGTACGTGGGATGGGTATACATAAGACGTTTGCTCCCATCACTTGAACTTGCCCTCCCACAAGCAAATAGCAGGGCATTTTTTCAGGAAAAAACCTTGTTGAAAATTTCCAAACTTTTGAATGTTTAATGTATTGAAATGTACTATACAAAAAGTACCCACTTTGAAATGCACACTTAAAAAATTCATTCTTTAGTCAAAGGGATAAAGTGTGGGCTTTTAAAAGCTTTACATGCATTATATTTATAATGTTAATGTGTTTTATATTTTTAGTGTTTTATATTTTAACCGATGTTTTGTAAGCTGCCCCGAGGCTTCGGCGAATGGGGCGGCATAGAAATTTTTAAATAAATAAATAAATAAATAAATAAATATAGATTTGTTTCCCTTGTTCAAAATGTGTGGGGGTTTTTTCCCATTAAGGGTTACAATGCTATGCTATTTGCCCTCGATGCATTAAAACCTCCAAGCACAGAGCTTTACTTGCATCCAGCGCCGGATACAAGGTGCAACAGCAGCAGTGGCTTCCACTGCCACATGTCCTGTGATTCACCAAGATAGTGGTTTCCTGCTGTCTAGGGGAAGCACCATAGAGAGGTGCCATTTGGATACAATATACCTTCCTGGTCCCAGTTTCCACTCCGCGCTCCTCCAGCTGCCTCATCCCTTTAGCCTCCTCTGCGGTTGACTCCCAACCTGGGAGAGGCAGCCGGCAACGGTTCGTTCTGCTCTGGCCGTGGGGAGCAAGTGAGGACTGCAAGCCCAGAGTTCCGGCACCAGTGTCGGAGGAGCACGCACCTTGCATGCCGGGCAACCCTGTGGCTCCAGACAATGTAGAATTGCTCTCAAATGCTGTGAGTTGTGGGGGAGGGGGAGGAATAGCTGTTAAAAATGCATTTTAAAATGCATGTTAAACATTTTGTATTTTTGTACTGTTATCGAAATTTTGAATTAGATTTGTGGCTTGCAATTTTTGTGAACTGTCCAAAAATTGGCATTGGCTGTATTAAAAAATGGGCAATATTAAAATGATGATGATGATGATGATGAAGAAGAAGAAGAAGAAACCATAATCTTGGCCCTTTGGGGTTCTTTCCATGATGCCTCCTCCACCCCAGTTATGGAACAGGCTGCCCACTGAGGCCTGCCTGGTGCCACATTAAGACTGTTTTCTACCACAGAACATTTAATTAGTTACTATTGTACTGGGCCTTTGTAATCTGCTTAAATGGGACTTATGATTGAATTCTATAATGTGTTATAGCTTGTTTTAAACTTGGTTTTAAACTTTTGAATGGTGATTTTTTTTAAAAAATGATGTTTTTATTGCTGTTTATAGTTTATATTGTTTTTGTGTGTTGTACACTGCCCAAGATATTGGGTAAAATGGAAATATAATAATAGTAGTAATAGTAATGCATGAAGCTTTGTGGAAGAGAATAAACAGCATCTTCCCTTCTGCTCAGAATGCTAAGCACTACTTAAATTAGGAAGGAAGGAAGGAAGGAAGGAAGGAAGGAAGGAAGGAAGGAAGAAAGGAAGGAAGGAGAAAATGTAGGTGGGCAGCCAGAGGAATGTCTAAGGCGCAAGGGGTCTAAGGCACAAAGCGTTTTTCCAACGAGAGAGAAGGGGCCATGCATTGCAGTCCTGCAAAGGTTAACTGTGTGTCGGGCAGTTGCTTGCACCAGCATCCCCTGCAATGATTCCAACACCAAAGATTCCTTTGTGGCTGTTTTCTCCTGGTTCCTCTGTGTGAATCTTGAGACCAATGCAATTGTGTGGAAACCGACACAGCACCCCTGCTCTGAACAGCTTATGGCTTCATGTTTGCAGGGCAATACCGTTGAAGACATGAACGGAGGAATTCATGCACGAGCCAGTCCTAATGAAAGGGGGTTAATATAATACCAGCCCAAATGGCTAAAGACTCCCATGCATGGGAAAATGAATGCATTCTTCAGGAACATTTGTCTTTGACCACAGTTGGATGTTTGACTAATTCTTGCTGTAAGAAAGAAATAACTCAAAGGCTACCTACTCAAGCATCAACCCATTCAAATAAATGAACTTGGCTGGAAAGTCCAGTTTGAGAGCAATTTCACAGATACGACTTTGTGAACATGAAAATGTTGCCCTTTTATGGAAAGGGAGATGCTTAGGAATATCCAGGAAGCTGAAGATAATCAAATAAACGTATTTGCTGGACTTGTAAGTCATGATCTACCTGGCCATTTGCCTTTTTTATCACTGTGAAGTTAAACAAAAATGCTCAGCAAAAATCCGAGCAGCTCCAACATAGTTTGCTACTTGATAGTAAGCTGGTAGCCACCCTTGAACTGTCAGTTACTTCGGCTTCAAGCTTTTGGGTTAGTTTTCTCCATCACTCCTGGGGCAGCAGGCGAGGTTAGAGTGAGCAGCATGTAGGAGATTCATATGCAAATAATATGTAAATTGGTATCCTGTTTCTGGTGATGCATTTTCTCTTAGTTAGCATTGTGTAAGTGGACACCCTGAAAGAAACGGACATCTGTCTGAGTGCCTGGGAGGAGGATATAAGACTTGGTTAAACTTCTGAAGAAAATTGAAGGGGAATTAAAGTATTTTTCAATGAAAAATACCCAGAAAGGTTTTGTTTGATAGTATACCTTGCAGTAGCAGGAAGCTGAAATAAATGATCATTGCCATGTATAAAATCAACGCTTTTCACAATAACCCTGCCAAAAGTGAGGTGGTTCTATAGAATCCCACATAAATGTTCCCCGGTCACAAAAGGGTGAACATCTGCAGTCATGCTTCTCTCCAACTGCATTAAGTTTTAACTGAAGACAGGATATCATTTTAGGACATAAAGCAAAAGTACACAGGTGGAATTCACAGCAGTTCAGTTGCTTGGGATACACTTTCATAGCAGCATTTATCACTCCTTCGACCTCAAACACAACATTGCCATATTGCATAAATGGAGATAAGTAGGTGACAACAAAGAAACAAAAACACATCATCTTTGTACTGAGTGAAATAGATATTGAAATAGAGGTTAGAAAACATGCAAGAAGGTGTACAGAGAGACTGTTTCCAAAGTGTGTTAGTTATTATGGACAAAATTCAGTCAAAAGTGGGGATGCAACACAGCAAGTTTTCGTTCCAAGGAAACAAAAGTAAAATGCTCTCCATTTCTTTTAAACACGGTTATCGTAAGAACTTAACAACATTCTTTCTTTTAAGAAAAAATAAAAGATGTAACAAGCAAGAAGACAAAACACATCAAAAAATGGGAATTAAAAAACAAATCTTCAAAAGAAGACAAGAAGTCAAAAAAAAAAAAAGAGGGGAGAAAAAAGATTTTTCAAGGGGATCCTTGTCATGCAAATCAGTTTGGCGGTAAAAAAAATACCTTCATCCTCCGCACCTTCATTATCACCTAAATCATCTGTCTGTTTCTTTGTTAGGGGACCTAGGATTGAGAACGGAGAAAATGGAGGAAAAAGACAATTCAAGAATATACAAGACTGAGGAAAAAATAGTCAATATTAAACTTGCAAGAACGTTTATAGAAAAACATTCAAGGGGAGTAGCAATTTTTTATCTTGAAAAAGGATTTTCCAGCAAAATGTGCCTTACTGGCAATATAATATAAATGGCATATATATATATAGATATATTATTTACTAGAACTAATGCACCCTATAAATTAAATTTAAAAACACTGAATGATCATCCAGTATGATAATTATTTTTTTCATTTAAAAATCAACAACACTCACAAACTAAAACTTGCCAGCCTTGTGGGAAAATGACTATAGACTGTTTTAATTACTTAATCTAATTATGCATTTCTAAAAAGTAAAACAATAAAGGGGGCAAGGTCTACTTCTTAGTTGTGATGTGCAGATTTCTGGTTGGGAAAAAAGGGCACCGGTGTTTCCTTCAAAATACCTATTTTGTGAAATGCAAAGTGAATTTTGTAAATCCAGTTGTTTACGGTCGCTACTGCTTTCCAGTGAGAAGCATAGGCTGGGTTTTGTTCAGTTCATCCATTCATTCATTCATTAATTTCATGACAGAATAGTTCTTTCAGACCTTTGGATACCTGCTGTCACACGTATTAACAATAAGAGGTACCAAAATGGGATTAAAACCCAGATATTAGAAGGGTTCCTTTCATGGAGTTGATTAGAGCCTCAGCAAGCCAAGGTATTAACATACAATTGGTTCTTAAGAATAAAAGAATTAAGACCTAATATAATTCCATGCCCAGGATGGAGATAGTATTTACAAGAGTTAGAAGATTAATCACACTTTGCAGGGGGATGGTGCAGGCTACCCTTCTCTTTGAGCGCACTGGATAGCCAGTAATTCTGCTTTAATGCTTCAGAAATGAATTCAAAGGCCATCAACAAAACCATTTCCATATGTCATGTATTTCTTGCACTTTAAAGCACAAAGCAAAACAGCATTTTATTTCTTTTTCTCTCTTAAAACGAGCACAGTTCCGTGACATTCTACAAAATGCATGCCGTACACACTCATGCTGTCCCCTGGCCCACCCCACTGAAATCAAGGATAACCCTGGAACTTTTAAGTTGAAACAGTCAGCCAGGCACAAAGCTGGAAAGAAAAGAACATCTCATGCATAAAATAACAGCAGAAGGAAACAAGGTACCAAAAAAATTTAAAAAAAAGCGGGGGAAACCAAGATGAAAGATGTATCTTGGTACCAAGAACATGGTTAGGCAAGAGGCACGGATCAGCTCACAGAAATGTTGAGACATTGTATTTCAAAGCTCTGCTTCCTTTGTCCCCTTTTCTGTGACGGCATGCCATGGAAGCAACATGAACTCTGCAATGTGGAAAAGAACGCTACCTTTTTGATTGGAGAGCTCTTTGGAAATCTAGGGATAGGCTACCAACATTCCCATCGCTGTTTCAAGAAAGGGAGCCAACCCACGTGAGATTTTACCAGGGCCGGGTCAAGACGTGTGTTGCATGAGGGAAAGGGAAAGAGGCATCTCCTGCTCCCAATCCCAAATGTGAAGAAGCTAAGCTTTCCCACAGCACTTCGGGCAATGGAATCGCACAGCTAAGGGGCTGGCTGCATGGATGGGATGGGGGGCGGACTGAGCAGCAGAGAAAGCTGTATCTTCCAATATTTCCCACCCACAAAGCCTGCTCACAAAGGCATTCACCACATTCTTGCTCCAGGCAAAAGAGTCACCATGTGATATTTTTAAAAAATCAATGGAATATGCAAATATGATTCCCAGTGAGGCTATCCCCCCCCCCCACCCATACACAACGCTTTGTCCTTTTTACAGAATTTTACAGAGGATCTAGACAACTTCTATTTCCGACCCTCCTGTGTTTTCCTAGTGCGGCTTCTATATTTTTCCTTAAGACTGAAAATTAACTAAGGTAAAGACTGTAGGATTGCTCCACACTGTCTTCTGACCTGTAGAATTAGGACCTTTCTGTCTGCAAATAACATAAGGGAAGGGACGCCTGTGGACACATTGGGAAGTTTGAGAAACTGTTGTAGGTCACCACAAAATGCCAAATCAATATATCAGTGCTTTGGTGTTTATCAGCCGTATCTACATCTTATTCAGCAAAAATATTTGTTTCATGGCAGTGAAACACCAGCTCTCTTTAAGAAAGGATTGTCTAATTTAGCTAATTGCTGGTGATGCAAGACTGCTAACACTTCTTTTATGCATATATTTTTGGCAAAATCCAGTAGTTGCATATTACACAGATGAATTTTATCCTGGAACAGTCTTTAATATTCACTGATGTACACACTCTTTTAAATTATTTACCTGCTTCATGGAAACTAACATTTGAAAGTGGTGATGGATTTGCTGTGCCCTTTTGACAACTAAAATACTAATTGTACAAAATCTGGAAGCATAAACACCCTCCTTCTACAATGCAATTAAGTGAGGACTTTACAATATGCTTGATAAAGGGACAGAGAGAATATCAATGCCAAAGGGTGCAGCCAGGGATAGTTAGCATGACCTTCTCAGTAACCTTAGAAGTCTAGATTTGTCTACGAGTCTGAAGCTCCCCACTACTAACCAAAACATCTCAAGCCAGAGACTCTGGAAGAAGAATCCAGTTACCTTACTTTCTGTACCCTCTTGGTGGCCACTAGCTTTCAGCTGCACTTCAGTGCCACTACTGTGGGTGTCCAGAAGTCGGCATTACAGTTATCTACACATGCAGGGAACCAAGAGATACTGGCTTTGGACTGGTCCCTGGGATTTTGCAACTCAGCTGTCCAGGGACTCGGTGAACAGCCTTCAAACTGCTCAGCCTACGTAGCTGTCTGCCAGTGACCAGCTTGTCTCCAAACCACCAATCTTGATAATACCTTATACAACCTGGGGCTGATGCTGGAGTAGTTTCAAGCACATTCTAAGCAAAGTAAATCTAAGAACAAGCAGCAATTCTTAAAACAAGGTGCTTTGAACATTGAATTCACTCCTATCTACCCTACCTTTTAAATGCAGGACTAGTAACCATATTTCAAAACTATCAAAATCTAAAGCATGTTCATACTATTGATAATCCTGGATCAGGAATGAGGGATTCTTGATTAATTCCACAAGTCTCAGGCCAATTTCTACTATATTTGCCAAATATGTCCCCAAGACTGTCTTACAACCAACCAACCAACCAAAACTAAGAAGGACATTGCAAAATTTAGCCCTACAATTTGAAAACTACTCAAAACTACTACCCACTATAGCCACATACCTATAGCTAAAATGCCATCAGCCAGGCAGTGAGAATAAACAAAGCTATAAACCTCTCTAAGAATCAAATGCCTGCTTTAGACAAACCTACACTGAAAATGATGTGAAAATGTCAAATCTAGCTTGTTTGCAAGTTAGATTTGACCTACTACTACTATTATCCTATTGCATTTATACCTTTTCCTCCTCTAAGCAAAGAACCCAAGACAGCTTACCAGTTTTTCTTCCTCTCCATTCTATTCTCACAGCAACAACCTTCTGAGGTAGGTTGGGCCAAAATACATTCACTGGCCCAAAGTCGCTCAGTGGACTTCATGGCTGAGCGGGGACTAGAACCCAGATCTCCTGATTCCCAATCCAGTGCTCTTAACCACTATACCACACTGGCTGTCAGGGCTCCATAACTGCTGCAGAGCCTTAAAAGGGCTTAAATTCATCTTGCAAACCAGATAAATATGACCTTTTTGGTGATTTGCAGTGCTCTAGAGACATAATCAAAAGATTGTAACCCACAGAGGATGGGGGTGAACTCTGCAGGGTGAAAATGGTCCCTGCATCTCTGGAAATTGTCCATCCCTGTTTTAAACAATAGTGAAATAAAATGAAATTAAATGCTCTTGATTCATAGTTGGAGCTAATGTATTCTGAGGTATAGGTGATGGGCTGCAATACATCAAAGGATTTTAAAAGCTGTTGATGTAAATTAAAAAACTGGTGGGCTACAGGCTCCTATTAGACTCATTAATTATACTTTCAGGACACATAAAGGATGTTGTTGTGAGCCAAAGGACCAAACATGAAAAATTAATATGCTTACTATTGCTCAAAGGATGCAAAGGCCTAAACTGAAATCAAATGCTATTTAAGTTGAAACCTCACTCACCAAAATATGGTCCCTCTTTTAGTTGATAATGTGGGGATGCAATTAATTGGGTGCAGGGAAGGGAGACAGAAATGGAAATACAATTCAAGAAAAATTAAGCCCATTCGAATTTCTGGAAGACAGAGATCTGGACTGGATAGGTCTCCTGTTCTGCAGTGCAATCCTATATATCAAAACTGTGCTTCTGACATTCAGCGGGGTTTACTTACAGGCCAATGCATTTAAGATAGCAACTGCATTGTTATTTTCAAAGCATTTAACTTTGCAATCTGTTGCTTGTCTACTTACACGTAATTGCTGTTGGGTTAAACAGGCCTTTTCCAGGTAAGCTTCTATAGGACAGGATTACATTCTCAAGACTGTAATAGCTATGAGGAAAATATATTTTATTTCCTGCTCAAGGAAAAACTGTGATTGTTTGCTTCCTTTGTAATGGAACAGCTATGGATATAAAAAGTTGCCTTTTATTGACCCTATCACTGGGTCATCTAACCCAGCCTTCCACAACATGGTATCCTTGCAATATGTTGGATCACAACTCCCATTTGCTCCAGCCATCATGACTATTGGGAAGGTACCTGCTTGGAAAAGACTGTCTGACTCTGCATGGCTGAGGCTCCCTGGGGGTCTCAGGCAGGGGTCTTTGGGCTGAGCTACTGGAACTCATCTGGGACATTCCATATCCAAAGGATACGCCCTATGACTCACTAAGGACCTCGCTCCAACAAATATTAATACTAAAAATCTGCTCCCCCACTCAGCAACAGCTATTGCTCCGAATCATTATTGTTCTTCTTTAATTAAGCAACCTTC